CTGGCAGGGGCGAGGGCCGGGGTGGGCTCCTCCTTGCCGCGGTCACGGGGTGCGGGTGCCCTCTCTCCCGAGAGCCCGCCTGGTACCACCGTGTGCCCCGGCTCGCACCCCCGGCCCTTTCACCTGATTCGCCGGTTCTTTGTCTGTTTCTTTGCAGTAGCTGGCTTGAACCGGGGCTCTTTCATTCTGAGGCGGGGTCTCGCGAGTCCCGCAGGGGTGCGGCCGGGCTGACCGCGGGCTCCTCCTGCCTCGGCCTCCCCGGAGCGGGCGTGCTGCGCGCCAGCTCGCCGGCTCTTCTCCTTGACGGCTGCGGGTCCCAGCGCGCCGCAGTCGTCTCTGGCCGGGGTTGGAGTTTGGAGGCGCTTCGGGCGGGCCTGGAGCTCCCGGGTCCGCGGCCGTCGCAGCACCCTCCTGCCTCAGCCTCCCTGGAGCGGGCATGCTAGGCCCCCCAGCTCGCCGGTTCTCGTCCTTGACGGATGCGGGTCCCAGCGCGCCGCAGTCTGGGGACTTTGCGCGCAGCGGTGCGGGCGGGCTGCGCTCCTCGGCGCTTGAGCTGCGCCCCGAAGCTGGATTCCTAATTCGGCCCGGGGTACTGGGAGTGACCGCGGCCTGATGGGAGTGCTGCTGCTGCTGCTGCTCTTGATTTGTGATACTGAGGATGGACCCCAGGGCCTTTGCACTGTTACATCGCCAGCCCCGCCCCCTGGTTCTTTATTCATTTTGAGACAAGGGTCTCGCTGAGTGGCCCAAGCTTGGACTTGGCATCCTCCTGCCTCAGCCTCCCAGGGTGCTCGGATAAGAGGCGTGTGCCACCTGTGTGCCACAGCTCCGTGTTTAAAACAAAAAGAGGTGTAGCCCTGGGAGGCCCTGGGCCCTGCCTGAGCCCTTCCCGAGGGCCGCAGTGAGGCGGACGGGTCCCCCTGCAGGAACGGGGCCTGCGGCACGCTGGCCCGCAGAGGCGGCGGGGCTGACGGGCACACGGCGGCATCGCTCTCCTGGGCGTGTGCCCGGGCCGGGCCGGGCGCCTGCAGGGCGTGGCTGGCATCGGTCGCAGGCCCGGGGAGGCTGCTCCCGACGCGGGTCTTCGGGTCCAAAGTGTCCCGCGCCCCGGGGCGGCCAGCTCCTCTCTTCTCTCGGGTCCGCGCGTACCCGACACCTGCTCACCCTGCCCTCACGCCTCTCCCAGCGGACAGGTCCCTCCCGGCCGCCTCCCTGGGCAGCAGAGGGTCCAGGCGCCTGCCCTGACTCCGGGCGCCAGAGGGCCCAAGCCTGGCCCACACCCAGCCGCGTGTGCCGCACCCCAAGCCCAGAGACCCGCGCGGGGTCAGCCGCGTAGGCACCGCAGGACACTCTGGCAGGGGCGAGGGCCGGGGTGGGCTCCTCCTTGCCGCGGTCACGGGGTGCGGGTGCCCTCTCTCCCGAGAGCCCGCCTGGTACCACCGTGTGCCCCGGCTCGCACCCCCGGCCCTTTCACCTGATTCGCCGGTTCTTTGTCTGTTTCTTTGCAGTAGCTGGCTTGAACCGGGGCTCTTTCATTCTGAGGCGGGGTCTCGCGAGTCCCGCAGGGGTGCGGCCGGGCTGACCGCGGGCTCCTCCTGCCCCGGCCTGCCAGAGTGCTGGCTCCCTAGTGCACTCAGCGCTAACAGGGGCGTGGGGAGGCGCCCGGCCCTGGCCGCCGTCTGCACACCTGGGCCCAGGGACCTGCGCTGCGCCTCGGGGAGGCAGGCCGGCGGCCCCTCGTCTCCCGGCCCGGCCGTCCTCGCGTCTGTCGGGCAGGCTCTGCCCTGACCTGGGAGCTGGCTTCCCACTCCACGCCACGGGAGCCTGTGCGTGCTCGCCCCCGGGACAGCCCTCTGCGAGCGACGTCGAGGGCCCTGGGAGCTCGGGAGCTCGGGAGCTCAGCACGGGCACGCTGCGATGCCGCCTGCTGCCCTGCCGGTGCCAGCATCCGTCTCGGGCCGGGCCCGGGATGGGCTCCGCGGGAGCGCTCTGGGGGAGCCGGCCCTGCACAGGGCCCAGGACACCTGCGGACTCAGGCTGTCCGGCCAGGCTGAGTGTGGGAGCCAGCGTGTGCGCGCAGGGCCGTGTGTGCCGGGCCCGCGTGCTTCTGTTCCGTCCAGCTCCCTCCCCGCTCTGCCCGCCTCCTCCCCGCTCCCCTCGCCCCCTGTGCCCTCCGACCCCGTTTCTCTCGCTCTGTCTCGTCTCTGCCTGCACAAAGGCCAGGAAACCCGACGAGGGACTTTCTCAGTCTGGCTTCTTTGGTGTCTCGGGGTGGCAGCCCTGCAGCGACATCACTCGGTTCTTCTTTAGGGCTGCGTAATACTCCACTGTGTGCACACATGCTGCATTTTCTCTATCTGTCCGTCCTTGATGGGCACCTGGGCCGATTCGTGTCTGGCTCCTGTGGGCTGCACCCCAGTGAACGTGGCTGTGGAGGTGTCTGGCGTGCTGACCTCAGCCCATGGGGGTGGACACTGCCCCTCAGCGTGGACAGCGGGTGAAGGAGAATTTCTCTGTGTGGGGTGTGGACGCCTCCACCCTGCCTGGCACTGCGGGTCTCCGCGCAGCTCCGCTCCCCGGCTACCTGCGCCATGGGTGCTGCACGCATGCCCACGCCTGCCGTGGCGTCTCCTCCTCCTCCTCCTCCTCCTCCTCCTGGAAGAAGCGTGTCCGGTTCGCTTGCTTGTGTGCTGGTGGGGCCGTGTTTGGGGTGCCTGGAGAGTTGAGTTCCCGGCGCTTTCAGGGTGCGGGTCCCACTGGGGAGCCACTGGCAGAGGGCTCCCCGCACCCACAGGCTGCGTCTCTGCCCGGCTCCTGGCCGGGCACGGTGGGGCCGCTCCGAGGCTGCAGCAGGACGCCGCGCTGTGCCGTGACCCTTACATGGCTGCGGGGCGCTCGTGTCGGGCACAGCGCCCTCAGGAGGCCGCGAGGCTCCCAGCGTCCGCGCCGCTGGCCGGAGCTCAGGAGTCTTCAGTCTGGACAACCCCCGACGGCACCGCTTTTACGTCCCCGGAGACAGAAGTGTAATGTCAGCACAGTGTCTTCTAGGACTTTCCCAGCTCGGGCTCGGACACCGAGCGGCTGTGATCCGTCGATCGATCGAACCCGAGCTGAGATACCCTGTGGGGCAGAGCGCAGGGCCCGGCTCTGCCCACGGTGGCCCCGAGCTGCCACGCCCCGGGTCCCGTACACACGGCCGGCCGTCTCGGCCGCACCAGGCCCCCACACGGGGACACTCCTGCCCCTGTGACCTGCGCCTCCCCGGAGGCGCTCTGTCCCCGGGTGACGGGCGACCTGCAGTCGGCTGCGGAGCTGCGTGTGAGGGCGTGTACGCCTGGCCTGTGCTTCCTGGCGCTGGCTTGCGCGTGGGCCCGGAGTCCCCCAGCCCGTCTCGTCTGGGGCTCAGTCCAGCATTTCCCGTGCCCGCTGGGTGCCCCGAGCCGGCAGGCCGGGCAGCTGCAGGGTGCACTCCCCGCTCCCTGGTGCTTCGTGGGGTGCTTACAGAACCAACACTGGGAGCCTGTGACGCGGCGCTCTGGGAGGCTGAGACAGGAGGATCCTGAGTTGGAGCCCAGCCTGGGCAGCGTAGCAACGTAGAGAGACCCTGCCTGAAAATCAGATGGGGTAGGGCGAACCTCGAGTGTGCAGAGAACAGAAATAGGGGGGAGAGGTAGGGGAGGGCGGCTTGGGGGGTCGGAGAGGATGGAGCCACGTGGCAGGCTCAGGGCGCGTGGCCCCACCCACAGAGGGGGAACCACGGAGCAGGGTGCTTTCGTGGCGCCTTGGAGTAGAGCCTGGGCCTCCTGTGCCCTCACCCCGCACTCTGCTGCCGACCTGCACCCCATCCTTTTATTTTGTACTGTGAGGCTGGTCTCAAAGTTGCCTGGGCTGGGGTCGGTGGGCGTGGAACCCTCCTGCCTCAGCCTCCTGCATAGGCAAGACCCCAGTGCAGCTGTGAAGGGCAGCCCGGGATTTGTCAGGCAGTGGACACCTTGCATGGGAGCGCGCCCCTGCGGTCAGGATGTTGCGGGCGGAGCGCACGCGTGGTGGTGTGGGGAGGGAACCGGGTGTGTGTGCCCAGCTGTGTGAGCAGGGCCAGGTGCAGGCGAGGGGCCCGTGTCCCCAGCGGCCGTAAGACGCACTGGCCCTAAGCAGACCTCGGGGTGGCCGCCGCCGTTCTGATCAGTGCCGTCCCGGCAGGTGGAGCGCCTGACCCCACGGGTGGCCGGAGAGGTCTGTTCCGCTCACAGCCCGGTCCCCGGGGCCGCCAGGGTCCCGCCGGGCAGGATGTCCAGTCGGAGTGCCAGTGTGGAGGGCAGAGCAGGGGCCTGTCCAGCAGCGCGTGGATCAGCTGGAGAGCGCCCCGGCGGCGGCTCCAGGAGGGCAGAGCGCGGGGACCGGCGTCCCGGGCCCTGGGGACAGACACGCCGCCGCCCGGGTGGGCGTGAGCCCTGGCGGTGCGGGGCGCTGCG